CCACCGCATTCGCAGTTACGATAGAAGACCGATTGATCGTGCAACCGCTAGCCGCCCACGTTATGACCGGTCTCCTAGCTGTCTCGATGCTCCTTCTTCTCGTGGACGTATATGGACTTCCAGCGGCACGGGGCCTACCATTTCACCCAAGTACTCTTGTTGGAACGGCAGCCCTTCTTGCCGACAGTCAACCTCTCTTGCTTTCGTTGTCGGGACTCGGCTCGGCAGACCCGAACGCGCTTGCTAATATTGTCGGCCTCTCTAGTTATTATATAACAGACGGTGCTGTCGTCGCTCTTCATACGATACCAGAGAATGACGATCTTGAGATAGGGCAAGCCGATGTGAGAGTGGATTATCCCATAATGCTCCATCCTCTGACGCGAGCTGCGTCCTGCCTGGTCATAGCCGGTCTTATTGCAGGTCTGGAGGTTACCTTACAAGCATCGCAAAGGAACTCGGGGCTCGGCGACGTAGATGAAGTATCGAACATACACTACTTGTGGACAACTATACCCGCCCTCGTCTTCACTCTTGTTTCCCTCGAACTTGACGCTGTCGATTTCCAGGTTCGAAGTTTAGCACCATATACCAAGCTTAGGCTTGGACGCCTATACGACTCCTCGGTCGGACTAGATCTCCTAGACCGTACTATACCGTCGGTCTTGGTAAAAGAGATCCAGACGCGCAACCCGGCGGCTCTCTTCCACACGCTGGCCCTTGCTATTGCGTCGTTCTTTACCATTATATCCGCATCTCTATTCCATACAGAATCCTTCTTAGTATCGTACCCCATCCAATTGCAGACAGTGGGCTCGTTCGCCTCCGCGACCCAAGACTGTATCTTCAGTGGGCAAGGCCTCAATCTCGGCAAGAGCAACATACACACGGGACGTGTGGCGGATGTGGCGAGCTTGCTTATACTAGCGGAAAATCTGACGTATCCCACCTTCACGTATGAGAATCTTGCTTTCCCCGAGTTCCAAATGTCGCCCAGCGTCGTGGGCGAGCAGTCGAACAACCAAAACGTCTCAAATTTAAACATCATGGTCAACGTGACAGTTCCGGCCTTGAGACCCAGGTACGCATGCAGGCTATACGACTCAACGCAAATCAATGCGACGGTGACGGCTGGTGGGAATAGCACGGATACGAACCGAATGGATATATCCCTGGGAGTGGATGCCTGTTTGCCAGGGTTGCCGTCTGACTCGGGCAATGCTATAGCGTGGGGCAGGATGGACGTTGCGGACAGTTTGACAGACTTTGATTTCGGAACAGATTCCGCGAGGCAGTTTCTACTGAAGTTATAAATGGAAGTACGTGGCTTTCGCCTTGTTCAGCGAAGCTCTGATCTGGGGCCATGTGTCTACATTGCCAGGGACGGGCATCCACGTCCCGGCCGTCTCGGCACTCTCCTGCAACGGATCGTTCCAAGCCGTGGACGTCGCCACCACCTTCTTCGGCACGAGCTTCCACATCGACCCGTCCTTTCCGCCCGTCCCGATCGAGCACACGGCGAGGCCCTCGCCAGCGGACCTACCCAACCCCGACCCATTTCAGCCAGGACTTTCAACATCGGATGACAGCGTCTTGGCCCCTACCGACCACAGAGCAAGCCCCTTCGTCGGCACCCCCTTCTTCACCACCCTCCTGACCTCGCGCTACGCCGTCCCCGCCGCGGCCCTCGGCGACCCGTCCCGTGCCCCGGCCGTGGCCGACGCGATCACCTTCCTGGACGGCGTCATGCGCGTCCAGGACGAGACATGGAACTGCCGCGTCCCGGCCGACGCCACCAACGCCACGCTGGCGGACGCGCCGCCAGATGTCCGCGACGGCACCAATGCCCGTGCGTACAATGGCACGGCGACCGGCCCGGCCGGCAGGCTGCGCCTGGTGCAGGACGCGGCGTCCACGCGCGCGCTGGAGGCTCTGCTTGGCGCCGCGCTGCTGTTCTCGGCCCTGGGCTGGCTGCTTATGCCTAACACGAGGCTGTTGCCGCGGGACCCGACCAGTATTGCTAGCGCTGCGGCGCTGCTAGCCGATAGCGACATGTTTCGGTTCCTACCCCAAGGGCGCGAGTTGGAGCGTTTGGGCGTCGATGGTCTTGCGGGCGTGTTTCCGCCGGGAACGGTATTCCGGATGGGGTGGGCCAAGGTAGACCTTGGATTGAGAGCGGCTGAAGATCGTTTCACGATTACCACAATACCTCCTGGAGAGGCTGGTGGTGACATGAATCTAAGAAGAAGACGAAGAATGTGGAAGTAACGAGCCCAAAGGGAAGGCCATAGTCGATATGTCAGGTCGCCTTCACGACCAAGAAGAGGACAACGAAACCCCCGGCGCTCTCGGTCATGTTCCAGGCTATGAAGAAGACTACGGTGAATGCCCCAGGGCATATACGAGAGAAAGTGGCGTGGGCAATCCTGGAGAATGCTCGACTCCAACCCCTGAGACTATGTATAATGGGTAGTAACAAGGTGAATAGTTATCTTAGAATAGGCTTAATATATCAATTTTAAAAGAAATAGAGAAAAAGGATGTGAAAAAAAGAAAAAAAAACTTGACCGGCCTCGGCGTATAGAGAAAAATACTATCGAGAGTAGACACCGACAAGCAGCCAGCCAGCAATCTGGCGACTTGACTCGGTCCCCTCGTGGCGCAATTGGCTAGCGCGTTAGACTGTTACATACTCTGGAGGCTGATGGTTTGACACCGTCCGAGGGAAATAAGAAGCGAGTGAAGATGAAATGCGGGGTATTCAACTGGATTCCATCTTTAATTTCTTGCTGTGCTTTTCTTTCATATTATTTTCGTTGGTGCGCGATGATGATAGATAGGCTCAGTGTTTAATTCGTCGTTGAAATCTTCCAGTTACACAACTTCCCCCCCCCCCCCCTTTTTTTATTTTATTTAAGAGACATAAACAACTAGTCGTGTAGTATTCCAGACCAACTCGTCAATAATTGGTGGTTCCAGTACAAACATCATAATCGTAGACATCAAGTGAAATAATATTTTTTGCCTCTTATTTCCTGCTAGGCTACGTATAGCACCCCAAACACGACGGCTTTTGCGCCAGTATTCCCAACGCCGCCTGGCCCCTACGTACTCGCTTGCTACGACACAGAAAGAAGAAAAAGGACACACCACCTCCGGTGACTAAAACATGTAAATGAATAAATGTAATGGGGCGTCTAGCTTAATTTATGCACGCGAATTTGGGCTGTAAAAAGAACCCTACAGTGCCACTCCACGGCGACAAAATACCTCGCCCAATTAAAAGATCAAGTAAAGTCAACCAAAACTACAAATCCTTCTTGTAGGCGTGCTCGGGCTTGTGCGTGGTCTCGTAGTCGACGTGGACGTAGGCGCGCTCGACGTCGGGCAGGCTCTCGAGCTTGAACTGCAGCTCCTCGGCGATGTCGTGGGTCTCGAGGAGGGAGGCGTCGGGGTCCATGACGATGTCGACCTCGGTGATGAGGCGGGGGCCGGCGTGGTAGGCGCGGACCGTGTCGATCTGGCGGATGGCGGACGAGTGGGTGAGGCAGACGTAGGTGATGAGCTGCTGGATCTCGACGCTGGCGACGACGCCGACGAGCAGCAGGAACTCGGTGAAGGCGGTGCGCAGCCAGATGACCGAGATGACGACGCTCAGCACGATGGCGCCCGCCGGGTCGAGCCACCACGCCAGCTTGGCGCCGCCGACCGACGTTAGGATGCCAAAGCCGTTGATCAGCAGGTCGTTGCGGTGGTCCTGCCACAGGATGCGCACCTGGCTGTACTTGTCCCTAATGGACCACGTGTACAGGAACAGGCTCAGCTTGGTGCCGAAGGCGATGCACACAGCGATGATGGACGGCAGGTGGAAGTTCTTGAGGTCGCCGCCGCGCTCGGCCAGCTCGCGCGCGCTGAAGGCGATGAGGATCAGGGAGACGGCCGTCATGAGGAAGCAAAAGACGATGTTGCCCACCGTCTCGAGCCGGGCCTTGCCCGAGGGGAACCGTGAGGGGTCGACGCGCCGCACGGCCCGGTTGGTGAGGATCAGGGTGACGTTGCTCAGGGGGTCGAAGACGGCGTCGGCCATGGTTGTGAAGAGCGAGAGGGACCCGGACGAGACGGCGGCGTACACTTGCAGAACCGTGAGGATGATGTTTGCCACGAGGGAACCCCAGACGGCGATTTGGAACTTTAGATGATCCTCGCCGTGCTCCTGGCGCGCCTCGGCCCTGTGCTCCTCGACGCTCTTGAGCAGCCGCTCGATCGTCTCGTTCTGGGCCTCGTAGAAGCCCTGAAGGCGGCGTGCCTGGTTGTTGGCTCGGCCAAAGGGCTTCATGTAGCGTCCCAGCTTGGTGGTGGTGCTATTGCCCGTGGTCCAGGCGGCAGCGGCCGTCCCGGTTCCGCTGCTTCCGCTGGCGGGAGGCCGGGCATCGCGCTTCCTAGACGTGTTCGCCTTGATCTCGGCCAGCTCGGCCGCTGTTTTATATCTCTGCGCCAATCCGTACGGGTCGTTCTCGGCGCCGACCAGCGGAAGCCTGCCTGTCATCTGGCGCTCGGCCTCATCGTCGGAATGGGCGCTCGTCGGGTGGCGCGCAACCGTGGTATCGTCGCCGCCATCAGTAGCCTCGACAGCCGTGCTGTTGGCATCGTGCTGAGACTTGGATGCGGAAGCTGGTGTGACCGAAGGAGACTGCGCCCGCGCCTGCGTCTGTGCCTGTGCCTGTGCCTGTGCCTGGGCCTGGGCCTGGGCCTGTGCCTGTGCCTGTGCAAGCGCGCGGGACGAGTGGGAAGAGGGTAAGGCGCTCGACGAGTCGTTCTGGGTGCGGAAAAGGTGGGGATGCAGCGATATGCTGTTGGAGAGATCAGGCTCCATTCAGGAAGAATGGCTCCGGCGTCCGGAGGGCGACCGGGTGGCGGGTTGCGATGCGGGATTTCGTCGAGGGATTTGATCCGCGGATTATCGACGACTATTTCTCTCTCGCAGTCGACGACAACGACGATACTGCCGGCTAGTGCTTGGCCTGACAAAAAAAACCGATTGCGGGAGGGGGGCCGGGTCGAGGGTGAAAGGAATTCCCTTAAGTCCAGCCAGTTACACTTACACACTGGCGCACGGGGACGGGGGACCGCCTTGGTTGCAGTGGAGATGGGGGGAGCGGACACGGCGAGATGCCCAAAGACCGCGCGGGCCGGGGAACCGGGGAAACCGATGGCGAAGCTAAGCTAGATAGATAAATAAAATGCGCGAGCTTGGGAAAGCGTTGCGCACCGATGGCGCACAGTTGTAGAGTGAACAAAGTCTAAAAAAACGGTCGTGCAACTATTATATTAAGGCATCGGGTGCAATTACCTTAGCTGCAGTGCAATCCCATCCCCGCTTCGATCGACGTAGAGGTCAGAGGCCTGCTCTACTGCCCGGCTAACGGCCCCCGTTCAACGTCCAAGAGGGCGAGGCAGGCACCGAGGCAAGCGGTCGCGGGGCGAAATGACAATCGCCACCGGCGGCACCTATTAGACCGGCGCATGGTATAGGCTGCCAATCTCTAGTACCCTAGGAGGTGAGCGAAGCCTGCACATGTTGAGCCTTGGCGAGGTTGATTTTGGTGCCTTTTTTCGGAGAGGAGAGGAGGCCGTAGAGGTTCCCAGTTTCATCATATCGGAATTAGGTCGCGATTCACAGCGTCAAATCGTAAATCGTGGCTTGCTTGTTGCATTGACAATTGCTTGGCTTGCAGGGCCGTCGATTGCGGGGTGCGAGCTCACCTGCACCAGGTACGTAGATGAGCCCGAACCAGAGAACCCGGAACGGCAAGACAATGGAGCTGGAAGCATTTGGCGATCTACAGATGCCGTTCCGCTTCCAAGGTGCCAGGCTATATATATCTATCAAGATAAGTAAACCTCGATACCCTTTGGAACATGTACGGATACATAGTACTTCAATTCGTACTTTGGGCATTTAGTAACTGCAGCGGGCGGACTCCCGCCAAGCAAGACCCACATCAACCAGACGCAACCATACATGCGTTTCCACAGATGGCTGATGTTACACCCCTGATGACAGCATGAACATAAGTAAATAAATAGACCAAAAAAGAAGTCTGAGACTATCTGGAGCGTGAAATCCAAAGAGACGTTGAAAATGATTCTGTCAAAAACACCAAAACACCCAACGAAAGACCAAGAACACGATACGTGAGCGCCGTGGACCCTCATCTCCAACCCCTACTCCGCCTCCACACCTACGGCCTACTAGCCCTCGCTGACTTCTAACTCCAAGATGTTGAGAAAGCCGCGTCAAAACGCCAAGCGAGCACCGTGCTTGCCGCCAGCCCCGTCGTTCATCAGTATCTCGCGTCACAGCTTGGCGTCGGTCGACGGCGCCGCGGCGGGTGCTGGCGGCTTCGCGTCCGTCGTCGGCGTCGGCGTCGGCGTCGGAGCATCGACGTGGGCTAGGATCCAGTCGCCGACGTCCCTGTAAAACTCGGCGCTGCAGGGGCCGTCGGCGTGCAGCTGGTGGTACCAGCCGTCATAGGCCTTGAACTGCTTGTCGGGGACGGCGTCGAGGAACTTGTCAAAGTAGTTCTTGCTCGAGGCGAAGTTGGTGGCCTTGTCGCTGGTGCCGTGGCCGAACCAGACGCTGCGCACGGCGTCGCCGCGCGGTCGCGTGGCCCCGCCCACCAGCGACTGCGTGCGGTCCAGCAGCCCCGCGAGGCCCTCGAGCGTGCCCGTGTTGTGCATCAGCGTGTCCTCGCCGATGCTCTGCACGACGGCCGCGTCGCGCGACAGGTTGGCCGGCGCGAGCTCGTGATACAGCTGGTGGCGCGGCAGCAGGCGGCCCGCGAGCCGCCCGGCGTTGATCTTGAGCCAGCTGGGCTGCTCCTCGGGCGAGAAGCTGATGAAGGGGCTCTCGAGCAGCCAGCCGCGCACGTGGCGCACCACGCTGTCCTGGTACGTCGCGTCGGCCGCCAGCGTGAGCACCTCGCCGCCGCCCATGGAGTGGCCCATGACGAACAGCGGCGGGTCCGACGACGGCGACGCCGGCAGGTGCGGCTGCACGAACGCCGCGATGTCGGCGATGACGCGCGTCGTCGGCCCCGTGAGTCCCTTTTCGGACGGCTTGCTCACGCTGCGGCCCCAGCCGCGCTGGTCGAAGCCGTAGACGGCGATGCCACGCTCCGCAAGCGCCGAGAAGAAGGCCGTGTAGCGCCCGACATGGTCGCTGAAGCCGTGCACAAAGACCAGCTTTGCCTTGATCGGGCCGGCGGGCTACGACGAGAGGGGCGAGATTGAGTGCCAGGTTAGCAACTCTTCAATGTTTTTGACTCTCTCGATACGACCAGAGCCAGGGGCGAGACGGAAATGAATCGGCGATTCTCGTCGTCAAAACCTACCAGGAACGTCTTGGTGTAGAGGCTCTTGCCGCCGACGTCAAATGTGCCCTCTTGTTCTGTGAATGTCGTCATCTTGATAGCCCTTTACTTTGCAGCTGTCTCTCTGAAACCCGATTTGGCAGTTGATCACAACTCAAACAATACAACCCAACTGAAGTTGAATCTGATAGCAAGGTAGGTAAGGTAATTACCACCAAAAAAAGCTTTGGGTTTGGAGGGGATGGAAGACCTGCCGCTGGCAGGCAGGTAATTGGGCGTAGTATTTGGACCCGTATTGGATCCGTGTTTGGGTTAGGGACGAAGGAGCCTAGGCAAGCCGCATGCCGGAGTTCGG